TAACATTCGTTAATGCTTACTGTCTCTCCATCTTTGTTGTTAATACAAAGGTACTACAGAATTCTCAATTCATTAATTTCCCTTAATAAGCCATTTTATTCATCTTTTTAAAATCTTTTAATGACCTTTCTCCTAGTACTTAATCATAGCTTATGGCACAGACCTGTAAAAGCAATTATGAGACAAAACATGTTTGGCAGCCTTGTCATTATCTCATGAGTTAAGAAAGGTCAGACTCTCAATACTTGGATGCAAATCTCCAAAGAAAAGCCAGGTGTTCATGGATAAAGCACTCGGGATTCACATGGAGCAACTCTGCCCTTTGAGGCAGAGCAGCACATTCTTGATAAGACAGTCAGTAAATCCCTGCCTCCCGGCCCGTCCAGTAAAGCAGGTGAGGAGAAGAAAATGCTTATGAATGTATACATTAAAAGGAATGAAAAATGGAGATCGGCAACTTTTAAAAACATGGGCTCTTCCACAAAAGTAAAATAATTTGAACTGGTAAGGTATGGAGTTGTTTACACAACATGGTGACTCTAGTCATCTCTCTCTCTTCTAATCTTCACAAGGGAAAAGAGAGAACGGCAGGTATTCAAACTGATTAATTACACTCACATGCCTCCCCAGAGTCACATCATGGTGATAGATGTCTGGGTAGTGCTGAAGCCCTCTAATTAGGGCTGACTGAATATGGTAGATTAAAATTCTAAACATTAGGCTTTGGGGAAAAACTCCAGCCCCCATTCAATTTTCATTAGCTTAGAGTCACTGCATATATTCAAAGTCATCTGAGAAATATTTATAGGCTTTCTGAGAAATATAGCTGCATCCCAGGAATGCTGAAATTTGACAATTATTTTAAATCCTTAAACTGACTGGATTCTTTCAGTAGCACCCTCGGTGCAGAGGCAGTGCTTTTAAAACTTTAAAATAATTGGAGAAAAAGAGAACATTTACAAAAATTATTGTGTGTATTTTGTCTGATCCTTAGTTTTAAAGCCTTAACCCAGTTTTCCTAAGTTAGAGATTAACGCTTTATGTGGGTTGTTTACTCTTCTAAAGCAAAAATCCCATTTCTTAAATATGTTAGCCTTGAACACATTATTTAGTGTAGAAAAACAACCCAAGTTTTATCTGCTTTTAGTTTCCAACTTTTTCAAAGGGGAAATTTTATTTCAGTACATAATATATATATAAATTTAAGAAAATAATGTAATTAGAATACTAAGTAAAGAAAAAAATTAAGTAAAGAAAACAATTTCAGCAGGCCATTGAGAGTTATTGTTAGTAACTTGTAAATTTAACTCAGTAAACAGGTTTAGTAAACACTGGTTTGTATTTTTAACAAAGTCATGAGAGACGATATTGTCTCTCGTGGTCAGTTCCATGCCTGCCTATTTTTCTTCCTCAGCCTGAATTCCAAGAGGGCAAGACTGCTTAAATAAATTCAATAATATGAATGGAAGGGTTGGGTGGAGGGAAAGTACAAGGAGGGAGTCCTTAATCTCAAATCTGCTCCCACCTCTAAAAGTTCCCATTGGCAGAACTCTTGGACACCGTCCCGCCTCCGAGATGCACAGAGCCTCAAGCAAGAATTCCTATTAGTGAACTAATCTCAAGTTTGAAGACTATCACTTGCTTGTCAGCTGAAAGTCTAATGAAAAACGTCATGGGCAAAATGACAACCTGAAGGTGGGGAAAATGAAAATCAAGCCTTGAGCATGTAGCAAAATAAAATAAATAGCTTCCCCATTTGGTTCTAGTTGTCCTCTTTGCATTTGGAGGCATCAATTTTTATTGGCATTTTTGTATTGGTTTTCAGCTCTACACTTTTGTATGGCAGTGGTGTGTAAGAGGAGCCTTCTCCCACACGTCTTGTACATTCTCCCTGATTTTATGGTTGAGACAGATCAGGAATGGGCATTTTTCTCTGCTTCTTTTACCATTCTGATGATTTTAGGTTAATAGAGAAAGTAGTGATCTTGTTACTGCGGATAGCAGATGTCTACCAATGTAAAGGCATGTTTATGCCATGTCTGATCTCAAGACAATGCTGGGAAAGAGATCTGAGCACCAAATGGTATGAATTAAGAGTGAAAGGTGTCCCAAGACACAAAGGTTTTATGCACAATTACAGAGAAACTAGGTCAGGTTGTGTCTTCTTGCTTGTAATTTATGTTTGGTTAAATTCTATTATCCCTCTCCTTCCCCTTCTGTTTTTTTATCTTTGCCAGAAAAGCCCTACAAATCCCTTGGTTAGAATGTTCCTATTCCTTGCTGCCAAGTTATCATCATTCTTTAGGCTTTTCAGTTACTATTTATCCAAAAATTTGAAACCACCTACAAAAACATTTTCTATTCCATTTTAAGGGCGATTTAGCTACTATTGGTATCAAGTTAGGACTATGTTTATTTAAAAATCATCGGAGCTCAGTAGGTGGCTCAGTCGGTTAAGCATCTGACTTTGGTTTCGGCTTGGGTCATGATCTCACGGCTTATGAGTTCAAGTCCCACATCGGGCTCCGTGCTGACAGCACAGAGCCTGCATAGTATTCCCTCTCTAGCTCTCTATCTGCCACTCTGTCTCCCTCTCTCAAAAATAAATAAAAATTTTTTTTAAAAGTAAATAAAAATAAAAATCACAGCAAGCAAACATATCAGTGGCTTAATCAACATCTGCTTTTCTTTTTCTCACATGTAGAAGTCTTGAGGTAAGCAAGCCATCCAACTATGTTTATGCCAGTCTCCTGGGTGAAATCTCCAAAAGTCAGGTTAGTTTATCTTGTCGTTCTCCTAGGAGTGGTTTGTATCCCTAAAGTCTTATAGCCTAAAAGAGTTACTCTGATTCCAGATATCACACATGTTCAAGGAGAGAGTGGGGGAAGTAGAAGGAGCAAAGGACACACATCATCTTTCTGAGGAAGATTCCCATCTGCTTGTATCCCATTGGCCACACCTTAGTCATATAGTATATGTGACTGCAGGTGGGTTGAGATATGCAAGGCCCAACTAAAATTGGGAATTCTATTGCTGTGATAAAGGGTAAAAAAGATTTTGGAGACAACAAGCAGTCTCTGGTATCTTCTACTGGATATTAAATTTTTTTAAACTAAGAAACTTGCAATTAGCAGGTAATAAATGCTCTAGTTTCTGACTCTACTTTTAACTAGTCCTATTTAAAAGGTAAGTTAAGGGACCCCTGGGTGGCTCAGTCAGTTAGGTGTCCGACTTCAGCTCACATCATGATCTCGTGGTTCAGGAATTTGAGCCCCGCATCCAGCTGTGTGCTGACAGCTCAGAGCCTGGAGCCTCCTTCGGATTCTGTGCCTATGTCTCTCTCTCTCTGCCCCTCTCACATTTGTGCTCTCTCTCTCTCTCTCTCTCTCAAAAATAAATAAACATTTAAAAACTTAAAAATAAATAAAAAGTAAGTTAATTAATCACTCTAAGCTTTAGATGTCTTAATAGCAAAATAGGGAAAATAATGACATCATTCTCAGAAGATTATTGTGAGAATTGATCAAGCCATAGTATAAAGCCCTGTGCACTATATGTGTTTAACAGGTGTTATTGTCCCTTTCCTATAACTTCTTTCTTATATGCTAGTTTGTAGTCCTACAGGAGCTTTAATAAGTATATAAAATTGATTAACACTGTCCAGTGGAAAAATCATGCAAGCCCAAACTGGGAGTATATTTCAGTATGCTGGTACCCACATTAAAAGAAAATAATAACAGGATGAAATTACATTAATATCTTTTAAAATTTAACCTTATATAGTCAAAATGCTATCATTTCAACATGAAGTCAATATAAAACCATTGAGATAATTTTCAGTTTTTATATACTAAATTTTCAAAATTGCTCTGCATTTTATACATATAACCGTCTCAATTTGGACTAGAAACATTTGAGTTTCGATAGTCACATATGGCTAGTGACTACTTGTTAGGCCGTGCAGTCTATACCCCTAAACGTTATTTGAAGCAAAAGAATGCTGATTTTTTTTGACACCTTGAATATTTGCAAGCCAATAGCTAAAATACTCCAAGTAAAAACTTCCTAATTATAAACACAATAGAGAAACAAAATGCTCTTTGATGAGTTAGAACTGGCAAAAGGAAGATTGGGTACACACCTGAAGATGAAAAGCTTCTTTCCTTTTTTTAACGTTTATTTATTTTTGAGACCGAGAGAGACAGAGCATGAACGGGGGAGGGTCAGAGAGAGGGAGACACAGAATCCGAAACAGGCTCCAGGCTCTGAGCTGTCAGCACAGAGCCGACCCGGTGGCTCGAACTCACCAACCGTGAGATCATGACCTTAGCCGAAGTCGGACGCTTAACCGACTGAGCCACCCAGGCCCCCCGAAGATGAAAAGCTTCTTATATATGAAATGGAGAGCAAAAATTTTAAAAATACTGAATGTGTGCTTGTTCCATCCACTGAATCTCCAATTGAGTTATTCTCAATTTATTTAGTGTGTGTTCGCTTTTGTATTCAAATACAAATGCAAACTTGTTTTACTCCATTAATAATAAGAAAAAATCAATGAGATTTTAATGATCCTCAATAAAACTTTAGTTATTAGAAGCAAGTTTTTCATCTCAACATTAAGGCTACACAGTGATAATTAGTTGTTAATATTATAAGTGATTATGTAAAATAGGGCACAGAATCAATGGTATTGAACATAATTCAGTTGTACCACTGAGTAGGAAGACTTCTATCAACACTCAATTTTTGTCACTGCTGACAAAATCCATGCGTTTGAATCATTGTACTACCTCAAAAACGAAAAGAAATGAATACAATTAAAATGCAGACAACTAACTCATGAATTTTTATGGCAATTTAATGATCAGTTTAATATTTTTATGATAAAATTAATTGATTTATGTTTAAAATTTATCAGAAAATTAGAATAAGATTCTTCTAGAATTTTTTTTTTTACCAACCTGGTATTTCTTGTTTTGCGTATGAAGAAACTAAGGCTCAAGGAAAGTAAGTTAATTTCCCCCTAAATAACTGCTTTGTGTCAGAAGTACTAAGTTCTAAAACTAAATAAGAAATCAATATGAATTCCAAGAATCCTAATTTTTAATAAATGTATGAAAGACAAATTATCATTCCAAGTTGCAGTTGTAGGCTGGGACACGTGCCACGCCCCTGCTCTTTCCACGCATGCTCATCTTAAGCCCTCCACATGCACATGCACTGACAATTTTCAGTTTCCTTGGGACATTCACAAAAATAATCTGAGATTTCAGTGAAGTCAGAGGAAGTGCTTTCATTCTAGGGTTTAAAAGTCTCTATATTGGCTTAAAACAACGGAACTCTGGGAGTCCAGAAGTTCAAAGTCAAGAGGTCAGCAGGACCACAGTCCATCAGCTAGCTCTAGCAAGGATCCTCCCCATCTCCTCCAGCCTCTGATGGTTGCCTAGTCTGCAGCAGCAAAACTCTGTCTGCTTCTGTCCTCACATGGCTTCTTTCCTGTGACTGTGTGCCCTTTCCTGTCCCATATAAGGACATTCATATTGGATTTAGGGTCCATTTTAATCCAGTATGATCCCATTCTAAAACTTACATCTGCAGTGAATTACATTCACAGGTGCCAGGGATTGTGATTTAGACATATCTTTTTGGGGGACACTATTCAGTGTACTAAGGAACCCAAAAGGTTTTATTTGTACGACTTACTTTACAAAACAAAATGACACGTTATAGATCATGGTAATGTGGTTGTGATTTCCATTAGAAGAAGGGAATATTATTCTACTGTTATCTCTCAACAATTTGATTACCTTTCTTCCCAGCAACCAATCAACTCCAAGTCCTCAGATTTCCCATCACCAACACATCTCAAATGCTAGAGATACTGCATAAGTGAATGCTTTCTCTCTACCTGCATCTCACCCCAATTCACTTCATGTGGGAATCTTATTAATGTGATACTCTAGCAAGCCAAGAATTATCATTCCCCTAAGAACTACCTCCAAAGGGGGTTTTTGACATTTGTCTGACTAGTGTTCCAACTTTAGTGTCCTGTTTATAGAATTTGCTCCCTTAGACCGCTTCTATTATCAATGTCCATCAGAAGCAAACCCTGTAACAGGATTTAAGTACAAGAAGTTTGTTTGAGAGGTAGAGGGAAGCCTTGTAGGAAAGCTGGGGAGGAAAGGCAGCTAGTGAAAGGTTCATTATCAAGGGATGATTGGAGCTTAACACATGGAGAAACTTGAGAAACGGAGGACGACACACATCTCAGCATTAATTGACCCTAGAGGCAAGCGGCCTTGGGTCTTTATACAATCCACTACCCCTGCCCTCCAGCCTTTGATTAAGGATTATTTCCTGGGCTTGCTGCCCATGAAGGCTGTGTGCCATTTCGTGCCTTCTGGGGAAAACAAAAACAAAAACAAAAGCAAGTCTGGTTGATTAGGATTAAGTTATAGCTCACTGAAGTAGTATGACTCTAGGGATGTGAGCATATGGCAATGAAGCATCTGCTACACTGATGCTGTAAACTTTTCTTTATGTCCTCAAAGTTTGTTCTTCTCTACCTGTACTGCCACTGTCCTCAGATAAAAATATCACATTTTTTTGCCATCTTTTTAAACTGGGATTTTCTCAAAGTGTAAGCCAGAAAAGGACTATTTTTGTCAACCTCTTTGCATTAGTCTCAGTAACTGACAGAGTACTTAGCACATAATGAGCTCTCAAAAATACTAATTAAAATCAATTAATGTTATTTCAAGCAATGGACTCTCTTGTGATCAACGGAATTGGTGATTCTGTCTCCGTAGACAATAGGTGGCATTTTCTGCCTACCTGCTATTATCTCTGCATTCAAACGAAACGGGAAATAAAGATTTCCTATTGACACTTCAAAAGTGTTGAGAATTTAGAATATTCATAAGGGAAGGTTTTGGAGTTTTTGTTTAATATCTGGCTTATTTGGGGAAGAGTAAATATTCTCCATATATATAGCTTTTAAGAAAGTGCAGAAAACAGGGGCACCTGGGTGGCTCAGTTGGTTAGGCATCTGACTTTGGCTCAGGTCATGATCTTGTGGTTCATGAGTCCAAGCCCTGCATCAGGCTCTGTGTTGACAGCTCAAAGCCTGGGAGCCTGGTTCCGATTCTGTGTCTCTCTCTGCCCCTCCCCTGCTTATCTTCTCCCTCAAAAATAAGTAAATAAACATTAAAAAACAAGAAACTGCAGAAAACAAAGTAGCAGAACCTTTGGTAGAGAAGTGGTACAAGGAAGCTAAATATAATTTGGGCAAGTATGGATTGGGATACCCAAAGAAAAATGATATACACAACACAATGACTATTTCTTTCTCATGCGTCACACATACATAGAATACCAATTATGTCTACAATTAAAGATAAATTCCTAGAGAAAAAAATATATTCTATCCCTTATCATTTTTTTAAAGGGACTGCACCCTGTCATATACATATCTCCATGTTATGGTACTTTTACTACCATACACGAGGAATTAAAGCCTTACTTACTTGAATTCAGATGTCGTTACATTAGTCCAATACATTTGGATATCACAATGGATAAAAACCAGGCAAAATTAACACTCCTCAACATTTAAATCTCATTGCAGTCCTCTCTCCTGACTCTGCTCTTAGAAAAGAGATGTATGAGGCCCCTGGGTGGCTCAGTTGGTTAAATGCCTGACTTCAGCTCAGGTCACGATCCCATGGTTCATGAATTCAAGCCCTGTGTCAGATTCTGCACTGACAGTGAGGAGTCTGCTTCAGATTCTGTCTCCCTCTCTCTCTAGGCCCCTCCCCTTCTCATGCTAGTGCTCTCTTTCTCAAAAGTAAATAAACAAACAAACAAACAAACAAAGGAGCAAACGTTAAAAGAAGAGATATAGATCCTCCATAAACTTAAAACTGATTTATGTTAACTTTCCATGTGTGCATGTGTGTGTGTGTGTGTGTGTGTGTGTGTGTGTGTGTGTGTGTATTTTCATATCAATGTTTGGAGATTGATTCATAAGAAAGTACAAAAAAAAAAAAACTACTATTAAGATATATTTCCAGCATTGGGCACTAAACCAAGCCCAGAAAAGATGTTTAATAGTTATTTGTTGAATGAATTGTTCTAGGTTTTTACTCAAATTTTTCTTAGTACAGTTACAGGAAATATCGATGAAACCAAAACCTTCCTGACATTATAGAAAAAAGCAGAAAAGATCTCCTGGGATATGTTTTTAAACCTGAATAATACTAATGGACATTTTATTTTTTATGCCTTCATAGCTGCAATGAAAGATGAGAAAAATTACTAAAATATATATAAATATATATTTATATTTTATTTATATATATTTATATATATAAATATAAATAAATATTTATTTATATTTATATATAAAATAAATATACTACCATCCTAGATATCGTTTATTGTTAAACTAAACATCATAACACTATTTACCTGGTATAAATGTGAAGGAGGTTTTTTATCTAGTTAGCTGATTGTCAGAAATTTGCAGCAAATATATCTGAAGAAGAATATTACACTAAATAGAATGCATTAGGATATTTCCTTTTGCTAAATCAACAATTTCCAAAGAAATTCACGGTGATCTATTTAACAGACTAATGATATAATTTGTTCAATGTTGTGTGAATTACAACGTGATCTAATAAAAGTGACTCGCATATTGACCATGGAACTAATATTTGATAGATGCTTGAAAATTCAGCTTTATGCTTTCGACACAAGGGAGGTTTTATCTGAGGTCAAGTTAATAGTATGCTATAATGATATGGTATCCTGGTGAACCTCCACTTGTATTATCCTCAGCCAATAACACCAGTTTCTGAAGTTAAAGTTTCTCAAATCACCCAGGCCACTTCCTTCAGTGTAGTACATCACTTGTAGAGTTTCAGTAAGTGCTCCTAACACCCATGCCACCTTACCTTGGCTCCCTCATCCTGCAAGATCTAACTACCAGACAGCAGGGGAATAGGATTTGGTATGTGGGGATCTTCAGTTTGTTTATTCGAGTAGCTAAAAGTAAAAAAAAAAAAAAAAGGTATAGTCAATTTCCTAGGGCTTCCATAGCAAATGACCAGAAAATGAGTGGCTTTAAATAATATAATTTTTTATCTCACGCTTCTGGAAGCCAGAAGTCAGAAGTCTGAAATCAAGGTGTCAACAGAGTCTGTTCCTTCTGGAGGCTTAGATCCTTAGGCTTAGAGAATCCATCCCATGCCTCCCTTCTAGTTTCTATGGTTTCTGGCAATCCTTGGCGTTACTGGTATATAGCCATATGACTCCAATCAGTGCCTCAGTCTTTACATTGCTTTTTCTTCTCTACTTCTATGTCGTCCCCTCCTCTGTCTGAAATTTGCCTTTCTGTCATAAGGAAATTTGTCATTGGGCATAGTGGCCACATATATAATCTAGGATAATCCTTTCAATTCAAGGTAACATTCATAGGCGCCGGTGTTTAGAATGTGGGCATATCTTTCGGAGGGCCACAATTCAACCTACTACAAAGAGGTTGTTAAAACCAAAATAGGAAAAGTTAATGAGCCAAGAATTATTATAATTATTAGACAACAACATTATTTCTCTTACATGTTCTGCTGAATTTGCAGTCATAAAAGAGGGGTTATACAAATATTTGGAAAGGAGAAAGGAGTTTGGGGATAAAGTACTCCTTCAGATACTTTGAAAATGAGTATTTTTGTGGCATAATGAGTTGGCATATTTCTGCATATGAGAGAGATAATGTGTATATGTGTGTGTCTATGAAAGAGATGGTCAAAAGAGGAATATTTAATCCTAATAAAAAGCTGACAACGGCAAAGAGCTGGATCCTGTAATAATGAAGAAATATGCTGAGCTATGGGCTAAGAGAGAAGGTTTTTAGAAAAGTTTTTTAGAGCAAGGTTAAAAGTTTTTTAGAGGAAGGTTAAAATTTGGTAGTTTGTGTCTTTGATGTTGATTACCATTCAAGGAAGATAATTGAGTCTTTTTTTTACACTGTGAAGAAAAAATACTTGAATAACCAATATGGGAAATCCAGGGACAAATTTTTTAAAAAGATTAGTTCCCATTTTCAAAGGCATACTTGTTATCATAATAGCTTAGTACTTGCTATACTAGGATCATCATTTAAGGAAGGACATTTTCTTACTTCAATTTTTTCTTTCATCAAACTAATACATAAACATAGTTTAAAAAGTTGAATGCATGTCAGTTAAAATGCACATTGGTAATGTGCTTTTTGCTCACGCTTAGAAAGCATCCTAAAATGAGGGTAAACCTAAAAAAGGGCTAAGCATACTGGAACAAAAAGGAGAGAGAGAGGACCAACAGTAGATAAAGGAGACTAGACATGACAACAGAATTTTGGAAAATTGAAAGTAGATGAAAGATGACTATGTGACTTAGGACACTGGAAACTGTTGACATCTAAAGCTCTAAAGTATACATTCAGTTAGACTCAAGGTGATACAGACTAAAGAACTCCCAAACTTCTCAGGAATCAAAGACATAAAGCCGAAAATGGTTAAAAGTTTTTATGAAGAACAGCTGGGCTCCTAGATCCTTTCCTATCCCATTTCAAGGAGGACATTGGGTACTCTGAACCAAGAGACACTTGGGAGAATCGAGGGGTTCTGTATATGTGAAAATCTACCTGGCCTTCTCTCTCCCCGCATACTGCTTCAGAAAGGTAGACAGCTAGACTTCTACTCCCAGAGAAGAGATTGGGAAATTCATCTCAGGAAACCTGACAAGACCCAAGAAAAAAATGTACATAAACCTGTAACTGGGGATCTTACAGCAAGGTCTTTTGTTTTCAAGCCACACCCACAGATGGAGTTTCTGGTATGCTTGTTGAAAGCCAAAGATTGATGATATTTGAGGAAAGTACCCGAACTGGCAGAAAGAAATCAAATCATATAGTAATAAAAGTAGGGTCTGAAAAAACTGAGTTGCAAACGTTGCAAGGAGGAAGCAGAAGTAAATTCGGACATGAAGGAATTTAATGTTTTCAGAGGAATGAAAGAAGAGATTGGACTCAAAATAAAAACTGAAAGCAGTAAAACAAACAATCATAAAACGAGAAAGAACTCTTGGAATAAAAAAAAAGATGATAGTAGATGTTTATATAAAAGAAACAATAGAAAGTTTGCAAATTAAGTTGAGAAAAATGTCACAAAATTGAAACAAATCGACAAAGATGAAATAGGAAAAATGTAAGCTGATGTAGAAGATTAATCTAAAGGATTCCACATCTGATTCACAATGGTTTCTGAAAAGAGAGAAGATGAAAAGTGGGATCTCCTTATTATCGAAGAAGTAATTTTTTTTTTTCAGGCCAAAAGCCAAGAGTTTCAAAATTAGAAGTTTCTTTAAGTGCCCAGAATAATAAATGAAGTGCACATACACACACACTCCCAACATCCTGAAACCAAAGAAACCAAACCAAAACAAAACACACCACGAGAAAGAACAAAGAAAAGATGAGTGTTATCAGATTTCTTAACATCTGCAAAAGAAGCTAAAAGACACGTCCTCAGTTTCAGAGGAAAAACAATATTTCAAACTTAGTTACTGTTTAATCATCAAGCTGTAAGGTAAGACTGAGTCTATTATAATATTTTCAGACATGAGAGGACTCAAAAAACTGTGTTCTGTGTACCATTTGGCAGAAAGCCTCTAGAGGATGTGCTCCATACAAAAGCTATCGTAAAACAAGAAAAAGGAAAACCATGACATCCAGGAATCTAAGAGGCTCTTATATAGAAAGAAATGAAAGGCAATTCTAGACCATCAGAAAGGAAGATGCCAATATACAGGCTGGGCAACAGGACCTGGAGCTAGCAAACCATGCTGGATCAGGGGAGGCATATCCCTCAGAGGAGGGATAACTTCCAGGAGGGGAGGCAAGAGCAGAGAAGACATGTAAGAGAAACTGATAGATTTCCTGATGGGTTGGAATGTTTTATGAAAAGGCTTCCTGTTTTGTCAGAGATTTTGTAGATACATTTCTTTTTTTTTTTAATGTTTATTTGAGACAGAAAGAGATAGAGAGCAAGCAGGGGAGGGGTAGAAAAAGAGTGTGTGGAGGAGCAGAGAGAGAGAGAGAAAAAGCCCTGTCTGTTTACAGCCCAACATGAGGCTTGAACCCATGAACCACGAGATCATGACCTGAGCTGAAATCACTAGTCAGACGCTTAACTGACTGAGCCACCCAGGCACCCC